AGAGAGAGAGAGAGAGAGAGGCACGACTCAGAAATTGAGCGCCAGCGTGGCGTGCCCAAGCCGCCGCGCGCGCGGACGTTGGTTGTATACCACCTTTTCCTTCCCCGTGTGCTCCCCCGTTGCCCGCCTGGCCCGCGCTTCTCGGGCTCCGATGGCCCGCCCTTTGCTCGCCTCGCCCCACTTTGTTGCTTCCCTCTCGCACTTCTCCACATCGCGGACCCTCCCGTCTCTCAACCCCTGTCCCCCCCAACTCTGCTCTAAGAACGCGCTCTTGCGCCATGCGCCCGCACAAAGCAAAGCAAAGCAAAGCAAAGCAAAACAACTCACATGATAATCTTGAGTCTCTCCAACGGACTCACGACGGTGCGCGACGTGGCGCCCGCGGCGCCGCCGGCGAGGAAGTAGCTGATGAGAAAGGCGGTGCTGACCAAGCTCTCCTCTTCCTCTTCCTCTTGCTCTTGCTGCTGCTGCTGCTGCTGCTGCTGCTGCTGCTGCTGCTGCTGCTGCTGCTGCTGCTGCTGCTTCTCCTCCGCTGCGCCTGCGCCTGCGCCTGCGGAGCGCAAGAGACCCTCCTGCAGCGTCAGCTGCTGCTCCACCTCGGCCTCGTGCGCCGCAGAGAGCGCGACGCCATGCTGCAGGTCGGAGAGGATGCGCGCCTCGAGCGCCGTGGGCGTGGCGTGGTTGGGGCGCGTCGAGTACGCCAAGGCGCGAGCCGCTAGCTGCGATTGAGGAAGAAAGGCACCGCGGCTTGAGGCGCTGCTGCTGCTGCTGCTGCTGCTCGATGAAGAGGAGCTGCTGCTGCTGCTGCTGGAAGCAAAGTCGTCGTTGCGCAGCGAGAGGGACTCTCGCGCAAAGGGGTTCGAAGCGGCCTCTGCCTCTGCGTCGGCCAGCGCTGATGAGCTGGAGGCAGACGCAGAGCCTGAGGCTGAGGAGGAGGAGGTGGTGAAGGAGGAGAACGGCATGGGCTGGGTGCGCGGCTGGCTATCGATGGCGCGCGGGCGTGGAGTGGAAAAGAAAGAGGCAAGGGTGGGCCCCGCTAGCTGTGTCGTCGAGATGGCGAGCAGAGCCAGTAGTAGAGAGAAAGGCCACGCCGCGCGCGTGCCCGACTTCGGAGATCTACCGGCGCTGCAAGCGGCTGTGCTAGGCGCGAGAGCCGTCTTGAATACTCGAGAGCCAAGGCGTGACGGCGCAGCACGCAAAAGCCTCAGAGCCGCGGTCCCACTTGCACTCGTGCGAGCTTGGAGTCGTTGGAGAGGAAGCTTGCGTTGCGTGTGTGCGTGCGTGTTTTCGAGGGATGTGGTGAATTGGAAGCGAGGCGTGCTGCCTTTGCGGTGCCTCGGAGCAAGACTTCGCATGCGGCAGTCACGCGCGCCGCGCACGGCCGACGCCGCGAGCGGCCGGCTCCGGCTTGGCTCGCGCGCATGTGGAGCCGCACCGCACGCGCGCTCGGAGCGGTGAGCGAGAGGCGGCGCGAAAGCGGGTCCAGCACGCCGCATGCAGGCAGCGCTGCCCGCGTCCTGCGTGTGCTCTTTGTCCTCGCCCAAGGCGCTGCGTCCGCACCCGGCAACACACGTCGCTTGGCCACACTGCATGGCCGTGAGAGCATCGAGATGCGCTTCTCAGCTGCAGATGCAGATTCAGCCCCCCAAGCCCACGCTCGGGGGGCTAGGGAGCGTGCTGCTGCTGTGAGCGGCTGATCTGCGCTGTTGCACCCCTCTCGGCAGCCGGCGCATCTCGCCTTCCGAAGCGGCGCGGCGGAGGCGCGCGCGGCGCGGCGCAGGCGCAAGAAGGCGAGATCCAGCGGCATGCTCCGGTTTACTCCGCGTGCGCGGCGCCAGCGCAGCGCCACTCCAGCGCCAGCGTCAGCGGCAGAGGCCAACTCGGGGGCGCGACTCTTACTCTTGCCGCGCGGCCGCACTTGCTCCACTCTGACTGCGCATGCCGCTCGCGGATCTCGTTCGTGCTCGTCCGCGCGCGGGCCAGCTCATCCTCGCATTCCCGAGTTGCAGCTCAACGATGAGCAGCGAGGCGTGCTCACATCACGCGTGTGGGGCAAGCAATGGGGGAGCAAAGCAGAACTAGAGTCGAGCAAAGGGAGAACGCGTGCGCCGCGCCTTGTGTGCTCGATCCGCAGCCAGACGCAGTCGAGTGTAGAACGCGGGCGCTGTGCGATGCTGCAACGACAAGTCAGAGTCAGGGTCTCAGAGTCGAAGTCAGAGTCAACCGTCGGTGATGCTGGCTGCGAGTAACGTGGACAATGCAGGGCCTCGAGAGCTTTAAGCAGCAGGAAGCCGCGAGACCAAGGACTCGCTGGGCTTGTTTTGTTTTCCCGCTACTCGATCCATCTGCGTAACCTTCGCTCCGTCTCTGGCCTCTCGCCATCTCACACTCGCGGAAGCGGCGCACGCACGCAGCGAAGGATTCAAAGCGCTCTCATTCCCTCTCTCTCTCTTCTCAACGCGGCGACGCGTATTGCGTACCTGTACCACGGCAGGCGCGATTGCCGCTCGTGCACAGAAGAGAAGCGTGTGCGCGAACCTTTGATGCCATAGCACCGCACGAGGGGAGATGGGACGAAAAGAGAATGCGCACGGCGGACACGCCGCTTAAGCCGCCTCGGGAATCTTCTTGCCCTGTTTGTTTTCGATGTGCGGCAGGTGGGAGAATGGGGTCAGTGGAATGGTACGTTTTTTGCAAAGTAGCAGGGCTCTCTCGAGAGAGAGGCGCGGCAAGGGGGTAGATCCCCCCCCTAAGTTTGGCTCCGCTCTCCGCTCCCAACGTATAAGAGAAGCGTGATTGCGAAACAAAGGCACGCCGTCGAACCAGCCTCTCTCCCAGCGAGAGAGCTGCAGCTGGCCCGACCGCCCGCCTGCCCGCCCCAATGCCACAAATCTCAAAACTGAAGCCCTCAGCCTTGGTGTTTTGCGCAAAAGGGAGGGAGGGGGGGGCGAAGACGTATGGTGCCCCCCCCCCCCCCCCTCTCCGTGCACGCTCGCGCTTGCCGAGCAACAAGAGCGAAAACACACACGCTGGGGGGAGCTGGGCCAGTAACACGGCAAACGCGAGTACGGCCCATCGTCTCCCCCTTCTCGTCCCTCTCTCTGGCGACCAACTTCGCTTCCCCACCAGTTCCCCGCCTTCAAACCCAAGTGCCTTTGCCCCTGCTCGTTTGCACCCCCCCCCCCCCCCCCCCCCCCCCCCCCCCCCCCCCCCCCCCCCCCCACACACCCTTTCCCGGCGCTACACCTCAAGCTTTCGAATGCCCCCGCCCTCTCTACACCTTCCTGCCTGCTTGGTTGATCTACACCCCAACCATGCGCTGCCAAAAAGGCCCGCAAAAGGATAACCTCCTGCCTTCCCTGCCAACCCATTTGCCCCATCGTAATCTCGCCTCCAGCCTCCTTCGGGCCGATGCCTCCGCCACTGTTTCCCCTCGGTCTCCACCCAGCCAACTCTTCTCTCCCCCTCCCCGTCTCCTGCGCTTCTCTCCTCCTCTTCCTAGCCAGCCCCTCCTTCCCCAGGCTCGCGCGACTCGCAAGGGCAGCCCAGCAAACGACGGACTGCGCGCCCCAAGGAAAAAGAACCGAAGCCGAGTACGAGCCCGAGAACGAGCCTCCCACAAGCTGGGGAACTACACGGCGTAACTCACGTGCGCCGCATTGTAAAGACCGCCCAGCGTGCCGTACATGCCGACGGTGAAGAGACCCATGAAGAGACCTGTTGTTGTGCATGTGTGTTTTTGCCGATGGTCGCGCGCGTGGAGAAAGAGAAAGAGGAGGCGTGGTGAAAGGCGGGGCGAAGGGCGTCAGCAAAGGAGTGTCGTTTACAACGCGCCCAAAGCTGGCGAATCGAAGAAGGCAGCAAAGCCGATCAACGAAACGTGTGGCATCGTGTGCCTCTCTCTCTCTCTCTCTCTTTCTCTTTCGAGAGAGAGAGCCAAGCTTGGCTCGCACGCACTTGGCAGCACGATGTCGAGCAAAGGCTAAGGCCCGGTACCATGCGCAGCTCGCTGGGAGCATGCGATGCGGAAAATCTACCATCGCGCATCCTAGAAAAGGCCATGCAACCGCAACCGCCCCTTGGACGGCAACAGGGCACGAGATGGTGGCGCGCGAATAATGCCCACACATCGCCGCAAGAGAAGTAGGCCGCATGAGGAAGGGCAGCTTTCAAGGTCCTGAGAGAAGCCCTGGCGCGCAAACTGTGCCTCTGTAACGAGAGCACGCTGCCTTTGCCTCGCTCGTCGGCCCAAGGTCTCAAGCTCGAGGATCGAGAGGCAGCACGCTCTCCTTCTCCTTTTCCTCTCTACCTTTCTCTCACTACCACACATCCCCCCCCCCCCCTTTTCCTTCTCTTGCGCCCCCTCGCAACGCGCGCATGACGCACCCATGTAGAGGCGACTGCGCGGCAGGCGCTGGTACACGGGACGCGCGTCGGCCTGGTAGAGGCGCTGGCGCTGCGCGATGGTGTTGGGACGGTTCACGAGTGCGTCGAGGACCATGGCTGGCTGCTGGCTGGGGGTGGGAGGAGGTGTGAAGGTGGTGTGGTGGGGGGGAAGGAGTGGGCGCAAGCAGCGCGCGGCGTGCGACCAGCCAGCGACGCGCCCGCCCGCCGTCGGGGCCGGGCGGCGACGGCACGTGCCGCATACAACCTGCGCTCGAATCGACTTTCGCCGCACGTTGTATTGACGCCCGCATGCGCGTCCATCTATTTCGGTCCGTGCGCCTCCACCTTGCTTTGCCTCGCCCCCTCATCTCCTCCTCGTCACCCTCCTCGTCACCCTCAGCCTCACCCTCGCCGCCCCCTCACGCTCGCTCTTCGCTCTTCGCCTCACTCTGTGCATCTGCCCTTGCGCACGCCACCTCATCCCCCCTACGCGCGGACAAAGCCATGTCGGCAGCGGCGCATCCCGATGCGCGGCCCACACCCGCACCCGCGCCCACGTCGGCGTATGTCAATCTCTCCAAGCAGGCCAAATACGTCGCCCTGGGCGGCGCTGGCGTCTGTGAGTTCTCGCGAGTCGCGTAGTTGTGTGTTGCCTTTTTTGGGCGCGAGGCGTGCGGTGGCCAGCTAAGGGTATGAAAGTGCTTGGCATGAGATGACCGGGGGGGGGG